ATCCGAGATGTGTCGAAGAAATCAAAATCGTGCATGATGCCCTCAGCTTAAATTAGTACTTTGCATCCACTATTCAGCCCTTTTTCAGTTTCAAGTTTCTAGTTATCCCGAAACTGCCTACCTTTTTCCGGCGAATTTTTGTTGCCCAATTACCACAGATTAATTTCAGACATTCCTCCATTCCTTTGTAATGTTAGACTAACCACAGAATTGAGTGTACGGCTTCTGCCACTTAACCTGCAGTTGCGGTGACGCATACATAGGCACAACAAACCGCCCGCCCTCGCAACGGATAGCCGAACATATTCCAAAGTGGTTGGTGAAATCGATGACGCAACCGATAATTGATGGTCAAGTGATTACAAGAAATCCAGGGTCATCTGTTGCAAAACAAGACACACAGTTGACCCCAGTTGGTTTTTGAAACCACTTTTACGTAATCGCAATGCTAAAGTCTTGGCAACTAGTGAAGCGCTGCTTATTCAACTACACCTTTAGTGACTCGATGGTTGCTGATGTTTGTCAGAACCTGTCACTAATGTTTGCTCACATTCATTCTGGATATCCGTCCCAAGAAGAAACAGAACCAAGGATTGGGATTGTAGAAAACGATATATTCTGAAACTTCCGAAAGGTTGGTAGTAAGTTTGGCTAGGCCTATGCTGTTATTTAAGCAACGGCAGCGGAAACCTAAAGTAGATCTGATCAATGCAAGGAAAGCGTGCGATACAGAGCTCACCATGGAGAATTATATCGGTGCACGTTTTTCGAGCTCATTAAAAGAACGATAATAGCTGAAGCAAAACTTAATCCTGGAAATGTCAAAGTTGCTATATCTAATTAAGAAACATTCCCTGGAAGATAGTCATCGCTAGATGACGGCGATAAATACCAAATCTCGACGGTACACTTGATTGTGTCCGGTGGATAAGGGTCCTTAATTAATAAGGAAAAGCATAACGGTAGTTTAGATACCTGATCGAGATATTAAGTCGTTACTTAATATCTGAAACTTGATGGTTCTGATCAGTATGCCATGGCTACGTAAACGTGTCCTGATAATCCTCAATTACGCATGACTGGTTGGAAACTGACCCCGTCCTGCTGCTAATCACCAGTGTAGAATGAAAGTGCTTCCGGCACGTGGTTTGATGATTACGGCCAGCTTGAATGAATCTATCAGGAAACTTAGAGAAAAACAAGAGACAAGAAAAGAAAAATGCCGTTGCGAAACTGTCGGTTGAAGAACCGCCACACATCATCCGACCTTATGCGCATCAAAGTTTTTGATATAAGCAATCCACTTACTGTGAATTTGACCTTCTACTTTCATGTTTAGTGATCTTTGTATGCTCGTACAAGTTCATTCACCATAATTGACCAACCCCGTGTGCTATGTATATGCTTGTTTGTTTTAGGTAAGCGATTGACAAAATTAAGCGAAAATTTAAAATCTCGTGACATTTGTCTTCTTTCTATGTTGAGTCTAGTCACACAGTCAATGTGCTTGCAGGCTTTCTGTCCTCTATATACGGTCAAGGGTAGGTTATCCAGAGGTCAAGTTCAGAATCTTGTCAACAGTCAAGACGACTGACATCCGTCTTCGCCAACCCACCTCTTGTGCGAACTGGAACAGTTTGGTCTTACCGTGGTCATCCACTAAGAATCTGGTGACGCAACCTCCGTTTATGATCTCTCACGCATTCACAAACACTTTCCGTCTTCCACTTTACGCGCACAAACATCAATTAGCACAATGCCATTGTCTCTTTTTAAACTATGATTTGCTCCTCTCAGCGACTGTTTAACATATTGTAAATTGTGCTGTATTTAGTCAGTTGATGTAGCTCCAAAAACGAGCTTGTTTTCTCACAAATAAATTCAGTCAATATGAACTCCATTTAGCCTAGGCTGATCGACGACTACCTTTGAAACCACTCATGCGCCCTTCTTTCCTCACAAAAAAATTGAGAATGATGGATTGTGGCAGGGTGTCACGTCTCTCTTTGGGGGGCATGCTTCAGTCCAACTTTCCAGTGTCTTACAGTGTTCAATCCTGTTTCTTCCTTATGGGAACCGCAAGTAACACATCCTGAAGACCAATACTGCTACACAGAAAATACGGTATCTGTGTTCAAGATCGGATTATGTGAAAAAGTTCTCAACTAATGCGTGATCAGTGATCAGGAATGAGTGGTGTATCTATGGAAATGGATGCATACTATACACATCCAAATTAGGACCTTCGATGGAGTGAGTCTAGGGAGGAGAGAGCTCAACAACATTGCACTCGTAAAATTTGACGACTTCCCATTGCTATGAAACACACCTGCACAATCATATCCCCTAGCTATTTTACTCACCTTCAAGTCTGACTGATTTTCAGAAACGGGTTACCACACAAAGGGAAAATTTTCATTGGGCTAGTTTGCATCGAAACAAGCACTGCCATGTTTCATTCTGAGTACTTTGTTTTCCATTCTCCTCAAGTGCACTATTGCATCCTTGATTCATTGATTACACTGTGCTTACTAACCAGGCCCGATATCAGGTAAACATTCCACTAATTTGATTCCCGGTTGCTAAGGCAATAAACGATATATTTAGTTTCGTGTTAAATCTCGCCGAAAAACATCTTTCTACTACAGAGTTCTTCGTAATCGGAAAATAGAATGGGTTAGAAATGGTATTCGATACTGTGGATTTGCGTTTGTTTGTTCGGAATGTTGACCGATTGGTGAAATAAGTTGGTTTGCATGGTTGTACGTCCGGAAGAATTTCCCATTATCTCACTGTTCCGTAAGAACTCGCCTGAAATGCCCTAAGTGCGCTTGGATGTTCTGCTTTTTCTTAGTAAACAAATCTCGCTCTGTGATGGGATGAGCTTGACACAGCTCTACTCCCACTCACCATCTGTGAGCCAGCATGGATTGTGTTCTTTGATCCGTTGAGATAACTGCCCTGTCGTCACACGCATGACTCATTCACCTTTATGTTTGACAAAATTCACTTTGTTGCATACGAATGTGGTTGTAAAGGCTTGAAAATGAATTCGCCGAAAATATATTTTCCCACTAATCAATGGACATATTCCACGATTCGAAACCAATAAATTAAGAGTGGTTATGGTCTGGTCATTTGAAATTCATCTTCGCGTATAATCCTCAGTTCCATGAGAGCAATGTAGGATTTTATTAAAATTCAAAGAGGGAATTTGCCGTGTATTGGGCGAACGAAGCGTGAACTGAAGATCTAGGAAACACTGTAAAGCTGCAAGGCTGTTTTCATCTGCTTGGGTCCCATCAGCAGTGCTAATCCACCGCCCTAACTGGAGATCGAACCCGGAACCTCACAGGCAGACCGGAAACATGCTATCCACTCGGCTACCGGATCAGACCGTTTTTTATATTTTCCATTTATACGATATAGCGCAGCCCATCTATACGAGCTTTTTGCGGGCATCGCGTCCCACTAATCTCCGCACTAGCCTCCTGGTAATGACTCGGTTGGAAATTATCACAACCTGAATACTTATTACACGAGAGTAATGGAGGATTTGATTCAATTTCAAAGAGAGAATTCGACGTGTATTGCTGGATTCGCAGTGCTGATGAAACCCAACCAGGTCGAAATAGGTGTACAGTACTTCCTAGCTTTTCAGTCCAGGCTTCATTACTCAATACACGACGAATTCCCTCTTTAAGATCTTCAGTTCGTCCAATCAACCATACACTGGATGAATTGAGGATCGTGCGTGCAAAACCGAATGTTCTCCAAGTTTATTCGGCTCAAAAACAATGACGAATAATGATATTAATGCTGCACAGGATATATCGAAGGTTACACTTCGCGTAAACCACAAGCCTCGAATTGCGGTACTTCCCAACGGACATGCCCGAACCAGCGAAATTAACAATACCAATATCAATAGAATACCAATAGAGCACCAAACGTGCAAAACGAGGGAGCTCATCACTCCCTGAAACAAATAGGCGAAGTAGCATCAAGGCACACGGTTTAGTGCAGCCCCGGAGTGGGCTACAGGACCAATCAGAATGATTTTAAGTCAACGGGTAAGGCAATTAAACCGCAATTTATGGGATACAGACACCATGGCAAGGTCTGGGACGGATGTCACGAGATGGGGATGGGATTGCACGACTTTGGCAGACAAACAAAGAAATGAGATGCGAAAATATTCCCGATTGAATGAATGGTCATCAGGACACAGGCTCAAGCATGCTCTCACTGAATGAGGTCAGAGTGGGTGGATGGACGCCCGGATTAGATTATTCTATCTGCACAACGCGAAAATCCCATCCTGCTTTTATTCTATGATACTTGTCATGTTTTCTTACACCCTCTTTTTTATCTTCTCTATGCTCAGTGTTGTCAGTTTGCTTGTTTTATCTGAATGACTTCATTTCTTCGTATTATCTTTTTTACTTTGTGATAGGATTAGTAAAATAAATTAACCAAAACCCCGTCATTGTTGTCTGCAAACTGAACGAAGTTGTGTTTGCAGACATATGTAAAACCAATAGAGTTCAATTCACTCTTCTTTTTTGGCAAAATCTCATTCTGGAGAGTTCTCACACTGAATGCAGTCAACACTAACACGCCATTTAGTATCACTCACAAAATGGAGGTGTTTGTATGGATGGGAGAGGTGATTCGAGGGTGTATGGGGAAGCAAATGGGTATGTCATACTGAGGAAAGACAGAAGAGTGATTCCTGTTTGTGAAACGCATGGCAACAGAGCACCTCGCACTCTCACAATCCACAATTTGTGCGTCCGTGCAGGGTGAACGCGAGAAAATTATGAATGAAACAAATTATTTGACTATTTTATGGTCAAGTTCATGTCAGCCACATTATCGAGCGAGAGTTCCGCTCCAACAAAGTGTATGTCATCAACGACGGGGACGGAGAAACTGGGGCGTGGGTGGGGGGGGGGGAGGACTGCACATTTCCGTAGTTGGTGATGTTGCATTCGTCATCAATACAGAATAATTCGACTCTCCACGGCTCTACGACATATTGGACAAGCGGTAACCTGATCACCACACCATTGACAAGTGGCATGACCGCACATAAACACCAAATTTCGCGATCTATCTAGACAAATTGGGCAACGGATCTGAGTTAGGCGGGGAAGAGAGGGTGAAAAAGTGAATGTTAATCAGGTGATCGAGGAGGACACGAGGGGGGGGGGCGACAAATCATCAAAAAGTTTTTGCGCTAAATATGAGATAGTATTTACCAGAAGGATCTATGTATATATGTATATGCATACTAAACTTACTTGTTCTCGCATCACTTGCAACTCATGCTTCAGTTTGCTCAGCTCACGCTCGCACAACTGTGGTCGTGCGTTTCGTTTTCGAAGAGCTGGGTCTGCGCGACCCGGTGTCTGATGATGTAGTCGATTGTTCGGAGTGATAGCCTGAACAGAGCAGGACGAAGTTAATAAATTGGGAGGATTTAGTCAACAGAGCTATTGAAGGGATCAGAAAATATGATCATAGTAAATGGGTATCGCATCGTTTGTAGGTTAAGTATAGAATGCCAGACAGTGTTTACCTAAATATCTCAACAGATAGTCTAAGGTTATTTTTGACCTGTTTCAAATATGAAAACACTGGTAGCCTCTGTGTGGGATTCGAGCCCAATCACAGGCGCTACCGACACATTTAAACGCGACATGCTTGAACAGTTAGGCTAGGGGGAGGGGTCACACCGCGGCTCTGATGTTTCCGCCTTTTGATCATCCATGCAGCTTGTGGAGGTGTGTAGACTGCATCAAGTCACACGTGAGCTGTCTGCCCTAGTTGGGTTTTCTTAGATGTAACCGGATTCCACCGGCGTGACTCTACAGCTAACTGTTCGAATTTTCCCCTCCAGTAGATACCTAGGGTGATCTGTCAAAAGAACAGTAGCCTCGATTAATCACGAAGTTATTCGCTCACGCAATGAGACGGAATAAGAATGCATCGCTTCAAAACAGCACACGTATGAACTGATAATCACGCTGGGCCGAGTCGTTCAGCATGAAAAGGAAATACGATTGATTGATGTGCAATGACCCTTATGCCTTTCAGTTAGGTTAAGGAGTCACGTGTTTGTTATGTGTGGGTTGAAACAGTATTAAAGGTATTTGACAGTTCCTCATTTTCACAGCCCGTATGTTGAACTCTGAGTATCTGAAGGATCGAAAAATGTTACACATGCAATATATTAATATTGGATAACTGAACGGTTATTGAAGTATTACCTTATTCATATTTGATCCATTTTCTAGATGCGAACCAATTTTTCGAGTGTTCAAAATTTCATTGTTTAGAGATCTTTTTGACGACAGAGGTTAATTCTGATGTATTACAACAAGAAGTCAAGTAGCTTGATTAAATACGTGATACACTGATAGAATGACACGGGAGAACCGGGGCACTTTTCCGGCAGACGTCACTGGTAAATTATGGTTTCAGTTGTCTACGATTTCATTCATTGTCGCACCCCATGCAGCTCGTTCGATATGATTTTCGCCCGAACCGCGGATTACCAGTGTTTCCGCTTGCATGGCGAAAGGTTTATTCACATGAATATGATACACAGTGAGGAAATGAGAAAGGCAGCACCGGTGTGAAGTTCAAATACCTCTTTGTACTCAACCGTGACAAAACGGGGGTTTATCTCTGATTGTGTCCGTTTTAAAGTACTATTCTAAAACTACTCAAGCAAACAAACAGCAATAGGAGATAAGATAGACAAGACGAAACTCATTGGTTACCCAAGTTGCTCATCAACCCCGCAGCTGACAGCGACAACTAGTTAATCTGTGGTTTATTTTTCCAATCACCATTCTACAAGTGGCTGTGCCAAGTGGGAACGAGATTGATGGTCGTCACGACTCATTATCTACCTCCTTCTCTTAATTGTTTCTTCAGTACCACCCCATCCACGCACGTGATGTCCAAGCGTGTACTTATGGTTTTCGCATACATGGAGATATTGCATCCGTGGTCCAAGAGAGGTGCTCCCTGAATACCGAACTAAGTAGATTTGTCGAAGTTAGATCAGACATACATTTCGCGTTCTGAGCTGATTTCATAGTGGCCATTCCCAATTAGTTACCAGAGTAAATATGCAACGATCTGTGAAGACATAAATTGGAAAGAAAGAAAAAATAAATTACTGACTGACCTGTTGAGTCGTAGCCGGATGTAAATCTAGCGTTCCACGATCCGATCTTGTCAGTGCAGTGGTAGAAGTGGAGGCTGAATAGAAACCGGGAAGGATAAGGAAAAGCAGGACGCTTCAACACGACCAAGCAAACTGGCCAAACCTAGCTTGGATTATATCAAAATAATAAGAATAATAAAGGGTAATCCAATCGCGTATACGAGAAATCCAAAAAGCATTAGCTAACTGAAGAGCACATCCAAACTAGACTAGATTATATCATTCACATCGGCACACGATGAGTCGAAAGTTTCCTGTGGTCAACCGAAAGTGATGAATTCGATTGCATCGTTTTCTATGGATCAGAACGTATGTAGATCATAGTTTCCCGATCCAGGTGTGAGAGAGACGAGTCTAAGGAGCGGAGGATGGGAATTGTTGGTTTTGTATTGCAAAAGTGGACTGATGTATTTGTTCACGTTTGTTCAAACGATTAATTTGACTACTCCGACTATCTGGCCATTTCTTTTGACTTACAGAGGATAGCCAAAGACTTTATCTTCAATAATATTATTATCCAAACGTGACACGTCTTATACAACAGGCCAAGGGTTGGTCATCAAACATTTCCTCCAATCGTATTCGAGAAAAAACGCCTAAAGTGGTACGCTGCATTAGTTTTTGAGACTATTCCGATTAAAGTATAAAGCTCAGAACACAAATAGTTCTTCAACGATGATGATTCACGAAATGATTTACAACCCTGCTAACAGAATAAATACCGTTATGATTATTTTCGCAATTTTTCCTAACCTATTTCGCTTTTCGTAACATTTGGTGAGAACACTTTCGTTCAAATATGAACCCAAAGAATCCAAGGAAATATAGGTTCAAAAGGATAAGTTCCTGAACTTAAGTATTTATTGTCAAAATGGTTAGATAGACTATAACAAGGCTGCGCAAGATCTGTGATATTCTCAAACATCTGAGTGGGTCGGGTTGTAAGGTCAGCCCAAATGACGCATTCTCAACAGTCTATCACGTTAACTCGGATAAGACGTTGCGTTTAGCGGAGTCAGTGGCAATGCAAATGTTGTCAAACGTTCTGGCCACTCAAAATACATCAGAGCTGAAGTTGTTCATTACCACTCCCGTTAATTACCTTCACACCTCCTAAGAAGCAGATAATTCTCGTACACCCGTTGTTCGCCCGCACCATTTTTATTTCAATCGCCGTTTAGCTTTCTGTTTGACCGGGTTCTTCGTTACGTAAACGTCTGTGAATAAGACTTATAATTTCTCATACTTGTTTTTCTTAAAATCGTTCACGAAAATTAACGCTTCTCCTTATTTGTACTCCTTAGACTTCGAAAAGAGTTGATAGATAACTGACTCTCTCTCTCTAGCACAGGACAGAAAAGAGTTTAAACGTGTATGTTAAGAATAGGAAAAAATCTTCCGGTACTACTGAGAAGCATTTCCTTTTCCTTATTGGACTATCTTCCCGAGGTGACAGCCCCGAAACTCACGTAAAAGATCATCATCTCGCTGGCCTCGGTCAAATACTCCAGCGTTTTGATTGTTCGACGGTTGTGGCAGACAGAACGATGTCGACAAATTATTGCTAGTCGCCAGATTGGTTTCCGTTACCACAGTATTGGTAAGCTCCAATTCGCGTGTAAAACTTGCTTGTTGTTCGACACCGGCACATGAAACAATAATAGGTAACAGAGTTTCAATAGGCTGACTGCATACCGGGCAACCATCAATACACAAACCGCCGGTCATCAAGTCCTCCAGGAGGCTATTCACCTTTCCGATCATGACCAGTAGCCTAGTGAGAGGAACTTCACGCCACTCGCTGCTTCCCATTATGAGCGCAGTTCGATCGATCTGTGGCTGTTGTTGTTGTTGCGATTTTCGCTGATGCTGCTGTTGAATCCCAGACACTAGTAGATTAACACTCCTCGAGTTGGTTGCCACATTTGGTACAGATGCAATCGCAGGAACAGATGAGTTGACTGTGGTTTCAACTACAGACACTCCTGATGCCACTGGTGCAACTGACGGTTCAGTAGTGAGCTGATTCAATGGTCCGGGTCCGGATCCACTTGAAGATCCAAGGAACAAATTACGTTCAGAATGGTCGAGAGCCAAATCAAATTGCTCGACCGGTCCGATTCTGTCCAGTGCATCCAACTGATTGGCCTTGGACTTCAGACACGGTTTACACCAGAGCATGTGATTGCAAGGACGGGCGATGATCACACCTGGTGATTGGTGGCACTCACAACACAAGGTGAACTGAAATTAAAAGAACACAGGTCATTGGTAATCAGAAACGTGAGCTGGTCTTTCAGATCGCTCGTTAAAAAGAATGCGAGAAAGTGAATCATCGGATGATATTCACGGATCAATCCCACTCGCCGCCCGTGATAGAATAAAGCTGTCGAAGAACTGAGAACGACGTAACGTATGAACTGGTCAATAAGCTTATGAATCTAGTGAATAATATATATATATATATATCAACGGCCGCAATTAAAACTTGCATTTGAGGGGTTTTTAGCAAACGATCCCGGTTATGCTATGTTTTGTGCTCATCTCTGAAGGTGATCAAAGTCTGCGCCAAATAGATTTAGCGTAAGGAGCTACATGGAACAACATCCGTGTCCGGAACCGGATGAGAAAGTCTCGGATGATCGACATTTTTTAATTGTGATGTTGCATCAAAGGCATTATGCAAGAAGTTCTGTACCCAAGTATGTGTAATAGGCGAATAGCACAGTATCAAATCATAAGAGCACATCGGTGAGGTCCTTTTTATGCACAAATTAGAAAAAATAACGAAAGCAACTGTTATCCACAAATACTTCCCACTAGAATGTCAAAAGAACGGGATAGCGCAACATCATATGTGGGCAAGAGAAAATAGTGAGAATTTTAGTGAAAAATATCATGATGTGCAGGCAAAAAAACATCTGCATTTTCGACGAACATTTTTGTGGAACTGTTCAACGCGCTGATTCCTTTGGGCATAAGTTAAAGTGAATAATTCGAGGATATAGCATTATAAACATTCTCGTTATTGAACAGAATCAAGACAACTGATCTGCTTCACCGATTTAAGAAAAATACCGTTATCTGCATGTTATCGGCTAGAACGGAACCTTCGCAAACCGTAATTTATGATCAGTATAATGTGGTCAGCAAGCAGAATATCGGAGTGGCATAATACCCACTGATTATTCCGAAACTGGTCTGTCTTAGACGAAAGAAAACCAGCAATTGAGAAGGTGAACAGGAAACAAAATCACGCTGCTTAGAACACTGAGAATCGGGTTTCTACTGCGTTTCGTTCGTGTGCTCCAATGCTGGTGAAATGCAAAACACAACTGTGCTTTGTAATTTTTAAATAAAATTTACGTTTTAGAACTTCCAAAAGCCGAAAACTGGCTGGTTCTTTGAATAGAAATTCAAACAGGATGCTCGCTCTCATCAGGGTTTAGACTGAGTAAAATATGCGTTTAAAAAATCGTGAATGCTGACAAGACCATGACGCATGACGAAATACATAATTTTATATTTTAATGAAAAGATGAACATATAATAGGCGCAAAATAATTGATATTGCATTTTTCGTTGTAGCAATACGCGTAAAAAATTCTGTTTTAAAAAGAGTCGAGTCACACCACTTAATAGTTTTACAGACCCATCCCGTTAAATTGCTCTATGTCGTTCTCTACTTATTTAAATAGTCAGTAGCTAAAATCATTTCGTAAAATAAAGAACATGGCTTGAGTGTTTATATGGTTTAGATGGTGAATTCGTTGTGCAAATGAGGCGTGAGCTGATAGGCTGGGAAGCACTAGCTAGATGTTTCGACCTCTTTGGATCTCATCAACAGTACAAATCCATCGGCACAACTGGGAATCCAAACCGGAACCTCACGGATAGAACGCAAGCGTACTGCTCACTCGGTTTGAATGTGTCAACTCGAATACGAGGGCACCGGCCCCCACAGTGTGCTCGCACACGTAATGTAGCACTTCTAACTGCTTCGTGTCATAAAACAATGGGTTTTCAGAAAAACTGATGAAAGCTAAGAAATAATCATCGGTCAGTTGTTTGGTTCCGCTGAAAACTGGGTAATCGGGATCAAACTCATTATAATTCAAAACAGATTTGTTTCAACAGCGACCATAGTTTATTGTCCTGTTTACTGCGATTCGCTGCCGGGAAAACTGAACATGCATTGTGTGCAATCCTGTACTCTTCGTAAATCATGAACCGGTCTATTTAAGCAGATAAAAACGCGTGTAAAACATGCATCGAATCTTGTTGTTCTTGTAAACAAATAAGACCGTATCATTACCAAGTGAAGATGACACAACGTTTATTCGATTTGTGCCCCATGGCGGAGATTGATGCTTCCTTCATCTTAAACAACAGCAACAACAATAATTGGCAGTTTCCAAACAAATCGTCGGATAACAACGCGTTCAGGAGAGTGTCCACAACTCTAGCCGGAAGGCTTTCACATGAGCGAGTTCATGCGTAAAAATTATCCACGCCGTGATCGCCCAACATAAAAATCACCATCTCAACCTCCAGTAATGTGATCGTATTTTTAGTTTTAATATTCTCCATTGGCTCAGAGTGGTAAAGCGATCGGGGTGAGGGAAAACATTTGTATACCTGAGGCGAGATATTCCTAGGTGGAAAATACGGCTCACAACGGGATCGATCATTTCCAATTACCGGTAGTTAATTAACTAACGCGTGCAACTCACGTTTAGCCCCTCCCCCACATACGGGCGAACTGCAAGATGATTGTTAAGTTGACTACACAGCTCCAGTGTGTGTCTGCATCTGTGCATGTAGGTGAGTGTGGGTACACCGACCTGTTGGGGGGGGGGGATTCTGTCAGAGTTTATGCGCTTCATCTCGGTTTTGTCCAGTTATTTGTCCGCGGAGATGATCTAGTGCGTGCAACGTAGACATGCGCGCCTGGTCAAGCGAGCTATCGAGAAAAGCTACGAGGGGATTCATTCAGAGAAAACTTTCCGATACACAGGAATGATGTCGGTTGTTGAGCTGCACACAGTCACAAACACACACGTAACTGACAAACCCTAACTGCATTGCCGCTGGTGATAGGATTGCTTGTCTCCCTGTCCGTTTCACTCCATGTTGGCCAAGATGTGGAGCAAGCGACATCGGATTTGCTCGAGCGCCGGACTACGCTAGCCTAATTGAGGACGGTAAGGATATTACGAAAGGACCACGACCAGGTAAGCACCTTTGATCCCGATTTGTCTTTCTTATTTACCTCTTCTTGTCATCTAGGTGTAAGGAACTGATTCGACCTGAGTGTTGCACAGACAGTAACAAGAACGGAGGGAGAGAGACGGAGGGAATATTGTAGCCTATTGCGAGATTCACATGTGATCACCGAGGATTACTGGCTGCTGGATTGCAATGATGATGAACTAAAATGCGCGCACACACACGTCCCAATACGTATCTTTGTATCGCGCATAGCACAAAACTGATTCGTTTCACACAGGTCGACTAAAACTGCCGTCAACTTCTGCGTGATTTATGGGTCTCTTCCGACCTATGCATGCTGATAGAGGTGACGAAAGGGGTGGGAATTCGCCAAATGAATCGCGCTGACACTGATTTAGAGAGAATGCTAAACTGTTCAGCAGGGTATACGAAAAGTGCCTTATTTGTATTTGTTTAGACTTTTACATAGACAGATGTCCGCATTTAACACAAAAAATGTATAATTCATCTCAGTGAAAAGAAGGGAATAATGAATGTTACTAAATTAGTCTTTAAAAGTTGTTAGAAATTCAACAGAAACCTGCACCCGATTGTTTATCAATTATCACAAATCGAACTGTTGCCACGTAAGAGAAGGATGGACATCTTATCTACGTCGACCTCATCTACGCGTTTAACTGTGTTTACAACGCAGCTTACATTGATCGAACGGCGAGGCAACTGCTCCAGTTGATTGAAAAGCAATGCCCATACTGACTTAGACACGGTAAAAAGCCGTCAAAGGAAGTGCTATTCTCACTCGCTTAGCAGACTCAGTTCACCGATTCAAGCTTGAATACCTTTTTCTGCAGTTATCTATGGAGTTCTACCTGAGCAATCCAAATCGTTGCGTCTGCAAACCTTGGCCACAGAGGAAGTGATCAGTATTGCTTTCGTCACGCTCAAACTGTACGCATAAAAGAGATTGGCCCATGCTATCCCACTACAATGGATGCAGATACATAGCACAATGGACGCATTACAGTCGAGCTACAGAATTCTGACGACCTAGTAGCGAGAAATATGTCGCACCACCCAGTCCCATTCCTGCTTTCCGATTCCATCACTGTGACCTTTGGCCGACTCAAAGTTTACCTTTTCAACATGTCTGTTCCTCATATGTTCTGTGCAAACTGGTAGATGAATGAATCACTTAAACTAATTGTTTGCCTCTAAAAGCGTGCTCTCGAGTGAAAATGCAGACAGTCTAGAATGTTAACATTCTGGTTAATCTTATCAGTTGCTGATGTAAAACTACAACTTTTCCCATCAAGATTTAGAAGAATCTGGCAATTCTTTAGCCTTGACCAACAGTCCTTTAGCTGGTGTATATTGGGTTGATCATTCCTGGTAAACGGAAGTGTACAGGTAAACAAAAGTTACCCAAAACCAGCAATTTTTAGATAAAAAAAAATCAACCTGACGTTAAGCATGAATAAATTTTGCGTTCATAACGTTGGCAGACGTGATTGAATTAGTAACAATTCCTCATCTTTTATTGATTTGAGCTGACTATCATTCGGACTTCACCTTCACGCACAATCCTCAGTTCATCGATTCAACCATACACTGCGAAGGTGAAGTCCGAAGGACAGTCAGCTCAAATCAATAAAAACCAATTATCCCACACCACTACTCACAAGTAATTGTGAGTCAAATACGAAACTTCCTCATTTAACATTTCTATACCAAACCTCCAATTGTCAAAGATTAGCAGTAACAGTTCTTTGAAAAACGAGATAGATTAACTGTGCGTCTCGTTGCCATAACGAGTTTCGCAACATATGATCCAACGTTTCTTATGACCCCCTCCACCGATCAAGGGTTAGCAGTTGTTTCATGAACTGAGGGCGAATGGCAAGCCATAGTTTCACCAATTGCATCTCATTTTTCTCAGCAAAAATACCGGT